TATACACATAAAATGATATTTATTGACTCAGATTATTTTTTAACTTTTTAATTTACCTTACTTAACTGGAAGTGTCCGTCACAATCTAAATACTGATAATTATCCCAAAAAATGTATTTAGAATTATCATAAATGCTAAATTGGTGTTGGTTCTTAGGCCAATTTTAGCATTGTCCTTTGGTAGCATCCCATCCCATATTGCCAAATGGAGATTTTGTTACTCTCTTTGATTGGCAAATATTGCTCATTTAATATCTAATTAACGGGTGCACGCGATTCTGTTTGCTTCGATAAAATGGTGTCCCATACAAACTTCCATCCTCTTTTTCAGTCCCTCAAAGGATTATTTCTTGTATGAAAACTATCCTATCTGTTTTCTCTGTAATCAAACTGTCTGTACCAAGAATATTGGGCAAAAATATATGGACGCTGCACCCACGTCCGCCACGGCTTAAACTACATTTGTTTAAAAGGTATTATAGTCATGATCATCTGTGCCAAAGCGCATCAAATTCCATCCCGGGGGACTTTTGTTATTTTAAGTTAAATAGGTACAAGTACTATAACTAACGAATATTAATGAAATAAGGGAATTAATTTAGTTAGTTAGGTCGACCCTACATAGGGGGCTCAGGTATTATGGGAGTACTTCACAAGGTGCAAGGGTGTCCCTTTATGTTATTCTGCCGCGGTAGAGTAAATCCAAAAATCTCCGCATGGGTTGAGGTTTTTTCATATGCGGTGAACACCATGCCACTCAAAATTAGTCAAGCTTTTGAAATTAGAAATTCGTATGATATTCAAAATTTGTCCATCTGTTGCTTTCACGGCAACCGTTATGTTTTATTGTTTGGTACTACCAATTTTATGATCGGCGTATAAAATAAATAAATCATTAAAACGTTTATAGCTGTAAACGTTAAGGATAATAAATGAGAATGACGATACAAAGAGTTAATCGTACACTTACGTCGAAGTATCGGTAACACCCCTTTTATTTATGAACGGTAAGCGACATTATAATGTTTAAATACGAGTAGCTCTCGATTTTTATTATTCTCAAATCTTGCATGATATTTCGAGGATACCAATGTAGTGGGGGTACAAAGTTATTACAGTTTAATGGCACTCATGTAGTGAGAATAATTGAATCCTCCGACGTATAATTATTTGCCGCCATTAAATTTTCAGACATTCTGTTCGTTGTAGTAAATTGTCTGCTATATAAAACGGAGCGACCACAACTCGCACAAACTTGTCCACACTTTGAAGAAAACATAACTCCAGTTCATACATACTAATCGATAATCGTGTTCCAATGTCCAAAGCGTGTTAGAAAAAATCAATCAAGTGACAGGGGAGCGCACAATCACAACGAAGTAAGACGAGTCGACTATTTGCAACTACAAGTCCTTTAACCCCTGTAAACCGTTTTGAGGTGTCTCAGTAAGTGCAAGCGCATGATCGGCAGGCTTTGTCGTATATCTGGTTGTAAAGTCCGATATGGCATATTATTATGGTTACTAATATAATATAAAATGAAGCTACTATAAAATGTATTTATTTAGCTACTTAAATATGCCCATGTGTCATATCTTTTGACTACCAGGATATTTTTTACGGTGTCATAATAAAAAAGGCTAGTTTTTCATAGATCTATCGATTCATACTAATTACATTGTTGGCGGAGCTGGGTGTGTTTTGCCCATTTTCCTTTCATCTCCGTTTAAGCATGAAGAGTTAACAAACAGAAAGATCAACACACTTTCGTATTTATTATTTAAGTATAAATACGTTTAACTCACTGATCTGTGCATGCAGCATGCGGTTGTTGACAACAGTGCATTCTTATTATTCTCTATAAAGGATGAAAAGGAGAGGCTGATGTTAAATTTTGTTTTAAGTTTAAATAATAATACCAGAATCGACACCACTATCTATACAAAATGTGATACCTACCTTAACATTGAAAAGACATCGCTTAATACGTTGGAGTCCGAAGATGGCCTAATCGTGGTCTCATTTGTACATAACGCAAGTTATCAAAGGTTGATTTAAGAAAAGTTTTGTGAGCTACAATTGTACTACGCCACATTTCCCATTAGTTGGTTTAAAAGTAATCCGAAAAATAAAAGGGACTGAAGACATATTGCCAACTTGAGTTACTATGTCAATTTAATAAATTCAATTAATTGACTGTTGCTAAAAAAGGTGTCTCTATCTTGCTTTCGTTTACTCATTAATATTATAATATTCCTTTGTGTTCAAAAGATTTCTGATACAACTGTGATGTTTCCCATAAAAAAGAAACGTATATAAAATATTGTTGCCATCGGCCATAATGACTGACTGACGGACTTTGTCCTTCTAATTAAGGGTGACTTCCTTTCGAACTTAGAAACTTGACCCAGTGGAATTTTTCTTGCAAAAAAATTCCTTTAAATTTAATGACTTCCATTAAGTTTTAAGTGTGATAATAGTTAGAGCTGTCTCTCTCTCAGCGATTAATTTAGAATAAAACAGCTTGTGTCTTTTATTGGCATTCAATGTATTTGACGTCTCTTTTTTATGTTAAAATGGTGGCAAACAAACATATGGCCCGCCTGATGGTGAGCGGCCACCATAGCCTACAGACGCTTCATCGTCATCATCATCATTTCGTTCGTCCACTGCTGGACATAGGTTTCCCCTAATGCACGCCACTGCTCCCGATTTTGTGCTACTCTCATCCAGCCCACTCCAGCCAGCCTAAGAATATCATCATCCCATCTTGTCTCCGGGCGTCCTACACTACGTTTACCGAGTCGTGGTCTCCAGTCAAGAACTTTCCGGCTCCAACTTGCGATACCAAAAATATCACTCGCACCGGTGCCTACCCTGACCCGATCCTCTACCCCGCGGAGCCTTGGAAGCACACTCAGTCAGTAGTGTTATTTTACTGTGGTCTTTCTGTAAGGAGGTGGTTAAATCCACAGACGGACGTTCCAATTGACGACCTCCGTGGTCGAGTGGTATGTACGCCGGGTTTCATGGTGTCGCCTTCTCGAGAGGTTCCCGGGTTCGAATCCCGTTGGGGGCAGATGTTTGTGTAATGAATGCGAGCGTTTGTACTCCAGTCATGGATGTTTAATATGTATTTCTATGTTAATATACTTACATATGTACATTATTTGTATTCTATCCGTTATCCTAGTATCCGATAACACAAGCCTACAGTGCTTACTTTGGGGCTAGCTTAAGGTTTTTACAGCCATAAGAGTATTTACCTATCTTTATATACGGGATGGGTTAAATGATTAAGATTGTTGCAGAGGCGGCAAGGCACCAGAGACGCCTGGTGCACGCGTGCCGGACAAGCGGGCATCCGCGCCGGCGTGCGCCACGCCTCCCGCCGACTTGGTGGAGCCAGCGCCGCCTTCCGACGGAGACGCAACGCCGGTAAAGTATTTTTAAAAAAATCAAAAGTCAAAAATTCTTTATTCAAATTGTATGAACAATACAACGCTTTTCCCTACCGTCTGTTAATGTAATTTTTTTAGCTGTGGAGAAAAACTGGCGAAAAAATCTTCACAGCGTTAAATAATTATGTAAGAATATTTACAAAATATTATATTGTTACGGTGTCAATACAAAATCATATCATCTTCATCACAATTATAGAAAAAGTTTACCGGAACCTTTTTGACTGAAATATAATGAGATACCTTATAATAGGCTTTATTAATAAGAACATTTTTAACAGGAGCTTTAAATTTATTCAAACTCTGAATTATTTATTCAGTTCAGACTGTTACAACTCATGAATAGACATTCATGGGTGCTTAGGCGTTTGGCATTATACTTTTGATGTAACATGTGAAATTCGAGTTACCATAAGAATACGTTGAACCTTTTACGAATTCAGGTAACGCGTTGCAGTGCGACGAATGGCCTGATTACAATAAACGGGGCCAACGGTTCAGATGACAACAATACATTCGCGTTACTTGCTCGTACAATAGTGAAATTCATATTACATCTGGCCGGGGCTCAGCGGAGAGTACGTAACTCAGGTGCATGGTGGCAGGGCCGCGCTAGGGCACTAGGTCGCAGCGGTCGATTCGCAGAAAAACTAATTAATTGACTAGCAACATGCGCGCTGCATTTCTATTGCATAAAAGAATTTCCGACGGATTTTATTCACAGTAAAGTTTAAATTTGAAATTGAGTTTGTCTTCACTTGCCTATTAATGTCACTACTGATGAGGCATAGGCATTCCTTGTGTATGGAAATGTTGAGAATAGGCTGTGACTCAGTATGGGAGCAACCCCTTACGCGATCGTTGAAGTTAAGCAACTTTCGCAGTGGTCGCTCGTTGGATAGGTGACCAAAAGTTTAGCTTAGCTTCGCAAGGCACGTTAAGCCGTTGGTACCCGTTGCATCTGCAGTCGTTAGAACCCACCAATGCGCACTAGGACAGCGAGTTTTGGCCCAATCTCCCTATTCCATCCATAGGGAAGTTATGTTCCAGCAGTGGGGACATTAATAGACTGATGATGATGATGACGATATTAGTATAGAGTTTAGCACACTGACTGTACATGCAGCACAATGCTTATTGTATTGAGGTAGGTATTCGCCCCAGCAATGACGACATGAATAGGCTAATGATGAGACGATACGAACAAAATTGTTTAAATATTAATACGTGGCTTTGTTTACTGCGTATAGACGGGTATGTGCGGCGAAGCGGTTACTCCGACGGGCAGCGCGCCGGCCACGCCGCTGGAAGTGCGGACCGAAGCGCCGCAGCCCCGCCCGCTGCCGATGCCCGAGTACGGGGGCTTCTTCGCCCTGCTCACGGAGTACCTGCCCGACACCAGCCAACCCATATCCGGCTTCCACAGGTACTGTACCCGACCGACGCAAACCCATATCCTTCCACAGACGGGTATGTGTGGCGAGACTGTAACGCCGCTGGAAGTGTAGACCGAGGTGCCGCAGTCCGCCCCCGCTACCGATGCCCGAGTACGGGGGCTTCTTCGCCCTGCTCGCGGAGTACCTGCCCGACACCAGTCAGCCCATATCCGGCTTCCACAGGTACTGTACCCGACCGACACCAACCTATATCCTTCCACAGACGGGTATGTGTGGCGAGACTGTAACGACGCTGGAAGTGTAGCCCAAAGCGCCGCAGCCCCGTCCGCTGCCGATGCCCGAGTACGGGGGCTTCTTCACCTTGCTCACGAAGTACCTGCCCGACACTAGCCAGCCTATATCCGGCTTCCCCAGGTACTGTACCCGCCCGATACAACCCTATATCCCTCCAGACGGGTATGTGCACAGGTATGTAACTGTTCTATAGGTAGTCTACCCGGTAACTTTTGTCTCCCCAACACCAGCTAGTCCATATCTCAGCCAACCCATATCCAGGTTCCACGGGTAGGGAAACCAGCCTATATCCTGGCTTCCGGGTACTGTACACGTCGAGAAACTTCAAGGCACCAGTCAGCCTATCCAGCTTTTGCATGATACAGCGCTTATGTTAAGCGAGCGATAGAGCGCTGCTCATGAAAACAGCACACGCCCGCACCGTAGGCTAAGAAGATATACACTTGAATGAAAAAAATATTTTTAAAATTTTAACACTGGAGTGTTGGACTCGCCTATCAATGGTTCCGTACAAATTTGTGTTAGAAGTAAATTGATGCTTATACTAACAGTTCATAACTAAATTTAGGTACCGACAGATATAAAAGAGAGAAAAGGTATTAAAATCCCATTCTGCACCATAAATCGAAAACTATATTATATAAAAATCTGTTTAATAATAAATATTTTCAACACTCACACCAGTTAGCCTAGCCCCAAAGGACTGTAAGGCTTGTGTTATGGGATACTAGGGGTAACGGATAGAATACATATACTGTACATATAAGTATATTTATATAGAAATCATATTTAACATCCATGACTGGAGTACAAATGCTCGTATTTATCACACAAACAATTGCCCCCACCGCGATTCGAACCCGTTCGAACATTCCGAGAGGTCCCCCTCTCGAGTCCGTGACACCATGAAACCCGGCGTACAAACCACTCGGCCACGGAGGTCGTTAATCTTGTGCTTAAAAAGCCCTTTCATACGATACGCCACATCACTCAGTTGACTCACTTTAAAATTTAGGACTCCGTTCTTTGCAACAGGCTGTCTTTGTGAGTTATAAAAATTATATACGGATTTAAGATTTTTCTCTTCTGTAAAAATTTGTATACGGTTAAAAAATCTACAAAACAATTACGTCACCCATACAATTATTATACGAGCATTTTATCAAGTGTATGGTTTTCAGATTTTTCCCTGTATCTGCAAATTTCATAGTTGTAGGTCAACGGAAAGTATCAATTTTGATTCCCGTGAAGGTGTCGATATATGTTTTGGCAACATAGACAGCCGTATCTTCTTTTCACATTAACTCAATTTGATCATATCTTCATGGAGCTACGACCTATGGACCTGAGTGTATGTTAAAATTTTAACTCGATAACTTCATGTCATCTCGACATGAAGGACTGACAGACGGACAGGCGTACTACAAAGTGATCCTATAAGGGTTCTCTTTTTTTTCTTTTTGAGGTACGGCGCCCTAAAATAAGCTCGTAATTATGTATCATCATTTATTTCGCGGAAGCACAATGTTATCAGTTTGCGTACTTATGTAAACGTGTACTCCAGGCAGCACTACTGAATAAATTAATCGTGAGCCGTAACGTCAATTACTTACGTTGTGAGCAAAATTTAAATACCTGTACGAGCGCTTCATAAGAAAACGCCCTTATAAAATGTGTTTTATTAAATTTGGCCTCAAAGCCTTAATATTTGACATTAATTTCTGAAACAAAAGAGGTTCTGATAAACTGTCTAACAAACAAAACAAAGAAGTTCTACATATTTTTTTACGCACAGAGCTCTAAAAACTATATTTTCGATTTGGTTGCACATGCATATAATTATCTCAACATCTTTAGTACACATCAAGCCAGTCTACGTCACAGCCCCTAAATAATTTCAATATTGAAACAATTTATTGAAACTATAAAGCATGATACGGACAGACATGTCAAGTTTACAAATAGCAAATACGAGTAGCCAAGTGAATAAACAAACCGCATTAAACTACTTATGAAGAATAAAAAACTGAAGCCTGTATTAAGTAGCCATATTTTTTAAAGACTTCGCTATTCGTGGCACACAATTTTCAATATTGTAACGATTTATATGCATGGATTTGAAACTTGAAACAAATACAATTAAACTACTTTGGAAGAATAAAATACTTGAACAAGCCACGTCCGGCAAAGCTGGTTAGAAGGAAGTTCTGCAGAACGGATTTTACCTTGTCTTGGAATTCCTTGTCTTGCAACTGCACAAGTAAATAATCCTCGCACTCCAGAAACTTCAAGTAGGGTTACGAGTGAGATTTAATTCAAATGCATTTTTATGAAAATAAACTGCTATTAAAGCTTAGGGACTCATTGATTCTTTGCGATGGAAAGTTTTTCAATTATAAACAGCTTCGTCTTAGAACTTTTTCTTACGTTTACATTAGAATTCAGGTGTAAAACATTTCAATGTTTATAGGAGGATTTGTCACGAAGTGTTGCATGTCATCTTACTCGATAAGCTTCACTCTTCAGTTATGTTATGAGGCTTTTTCAGTTTGGTTAGCGCGTTCGGCTGCGATCGTTGAAGTTAAGCAACTTTCGCAGTGGTCAGTCATTGGATGGGTGACCAAAACATCTATCTCGAGTTCCTCCGTGGTTCGTAAGGTACATCAAGCCGTTAGTCCCGGCTGCATCTGCAGTCGATAGCACCCAGCAATTATGGCCCAATCTCCCTATTTCGTCCATGAGGAAGGCCTGTGCCCCAGCAGTGGGGACATTAATAGGCTGGTGATGATGACACAAAACAACAACACTACATCACAATGTCCACTTCCAAGAGGCAGACAACGATGAGATGGAGCCAAAAACTCTCATCATTAAATTTATTTGCTGCTTTCGCAGATCAAACTGTAACCTGTGATAAATTGGTCCACAGCAGTGCACAGATGCACAAATGTATTTCCCATGGCACATCCTTATATTCGCATTTTGGTCTTTAGTTCTCAAGGCCCTGATATATGTCTTATTGTAATGAGTGACAGGATTCTTCGGTAAAAATATTAATTTACTTACATAAAAAAAATCGAGTGAGCTTATGACCACACGACTGAAGTGAAACTTCTTTAGCTCCATCTGTATGAATATGTATGTATATATATATATATATATATATATATATATGTGTGTGTGTAAATATATATACATGTTATGTACATATAGATATTTCATTTGCTAGCTATAAGAAAGAGAGATAGAAAGAAAATGTGCGCGCGCTCTGCTTTCTCTAGCTTATATCCCCCACTCAACTCCCGTTCGCTTCGACCGAACACACTTTTCGTAACGAGTAACGCATTCGCCAACTTAGCCCCCCATGTCAAGCGTGCATAAAGAAGTTTCTCTTAAAAACTCGTTAATCTGAAACTGAATTAATCGCTAGAAAATCCTTCGTATATTACCCCATGTCTATGAAAGCTACGCCTCAAAGCGAATTAACGTGGTTAAAAAAAAATACCTCCTGCATATCAGTTGCGTTAGATTAAATTTCAATATAACGTTAATAATAGCACCACATAGATAAAAGGATTGGCCGTGACAAGACCTATCGATCATGGTGTCGTAGGCAACACAAATTTAAGTAATGGTTGAGTACACAACGCGGACAGTGCGTGAAAACCTTTTCTACGACGCAACGTTAGCTGACATCCCTGCACGATTAAAACCGCAAGGAGAAATTCTTCAAAATCAGATTTAAACGATGCATCACTATTAAACTAAGTTTGCGTAGTTTTCAAAGTTTGAAAGTGCAGTGTTTGTTTGCTTTTCGGTAAAGTTGTGCTTCTGTCTATGTAAATTCGGACCGCTGAGTTCGGAAATGAGGCAGACTTTACTGCATAGTCAGCAATCTTTTCTGCTTGACTTCATTTACACTTATCAAAGGGGGCTTTGGGTTTAATCTATACTTATAATAAATCTGTAGAGAGGTCAATTCTGTACATGAAATATATTTTCAAAATAACTATCAGGGGGTGATTAGTGATCGATACTGATGCCAAAAATGCTATCAGTAAAATTTTTGTCTGTCTGTCTGTCTGTCTGTCTGTCTGTCTGTCTGTCTGTCTGTGTGTATGTTCCTTATAGAAACAAAAACTACTCGACGGATTTTAACAAAACTTGGTACAATTATTCTTCAGACTCCTGGGCAGGTTATAGTATACTTTTCATCACGTTACAATCAATAGCAGCAAGAGTAGTGAAGGGAAATGTTGGGAAAACGGGAGAAGTTACTCCATTTTTTAAGCTTCCGTCGCGTATGCAGCCTTAATGGTTAAAGTTACATAGAAATCACGGAAATATTCTACATAAAATTGTCTAAAAAATATCCCGCAACAGCATATGTCTATCTTTTATGGTTGACTCACAATAACACGTGTAATTATATAAATAAAGTCATTGTTTATAGCACAAGCCTGAGAACAAAAACTATAGTTTACACTATAGCTCTATACCGAAGCAAAGCGAGGGCGGGCCACTAGTTAATAATAAATATTAATAACTTAATTTATTGCGACTTGGATTTGCATTTTTTTTTTCGAATTAGAAAACTCTTATTTGTCGTTTTTTATAGCTAGGTAGGCAAATGACTCTACCCCACCTGATGTTAAGTGGTGGTAAAGTCCAGACGCGAAGATAGCTAGGTATTATAATTAGAATTCACAAAATAACGTATATATAAAATTATCGGGCTGGTTGTAGTACAACTGCTTTGTCGCGAATCTATCGCGATAATGGATTTCAATTTCAATACGTTGTTTATTGCGTAATGAGTGATTGTGACAGCTCCGAAATTGGAATCGGATTTATTTTCCATCATTTGTGGCTTACGCGACCAGTCTCCCCTACATAGTCCAGTGAGAGATAGATTTTTGCCTGAAAACGTGTTTGTTTTAAAGTGCTAAATCGGATATAAAACTTTAGCGAA